CTGACACCTGTGGACAGCATAAACGTATATGGAACAGGTTTTGGTAAAGATTACACTAGAGAGATGCCTTGGATAACAAGTTTTTGTGTTATACAACTAACAATAATACTGGCTGTTTTAAATGAGCTTCACATCGGTTCCTGAAGGTATGTTCACACTGGTCCTGTCCCTGAACTTACATTCACACTGATTATCCTTCTATTGCTTTTGCACTGGTCCTGTCCCTTGTGCTGAAAATACATTCACACTAATTATGCTTCTAGTGACTTCACACTGTCCCTGGTGCTGAACATACGCTCACAATGATGATCCTTCTAGTGCTTTTACACTGGTCCTGTCCCTGGTGCTGAATGATATACATACTGATATTGCTCCTGAATGACATTCACATTGACCTTTTCATAATGAACATTACCCACTGGCTACACTGCTTACAATGGACGAAGCTACATACATTGTACTAAATCTTGGAATATGCAATTGGCTGCTTCACTATGTAACCAAGAAAAATCACACAGTATGTCTCAGTTAGCTTAGTTTTCAAGACATTGCAGAGTCAATTTTACCTGGAAGTTACTCATGATATAGATGGACCCATCCTCCCCTCCAAGGGCTACCTGACTTGGTACAGTCCTGAAAATAGATTATAACATTGCTTCATTCATTCATTCAAGACTTAGATCAACTAACCTTTGTATTACCAGTCAATAAAAGGATTATCAATTCCATTACCACAAAATACATGTAACTCTTGCCTCAATTCAAAACCGGTTCTAGTAAAAAGAGTTTGAAGCCTTTTGGTTTAAATCACTGCATGCAGTAACGTTTCTAAGATAAACTTTTACAGCAAAAAAAGCTTACGTGATGACCTACAACAATGTTGGCTTAACATTTTTCAGTTCTATTTTCTATATGTGATTCAAAATACTGAGACGGTATAAATTGGTAGTTGTTGACATCTTTTTTGCAATATCTGCCCCAAACGTTGTGAAAAATGGCAACAGATTAACAGCTGCAGCATGGCTAGAAGCACTTTCTAACATATCTCATCTGTTACCTGCCAGCTATATCCTTTTGTCCTCCTTTTGTCCAATGTACATCATCTGTGTCTACAAAGTTACCTGCACACATCTGTAACATACATAGATGGCAAACAACATTAGGAAGAATGAAAAAAAGTCCAAAAATCAGGCTAACCCTGCGTAACTATTTTCCCATGCAGAGCTATCCTGCTGCAATCCCTAGACTGATGTACTTCTGCAGAATAGCTCTGCCTTGGAGAATGTCTGTAACAGCCACTGGCTAGTTAGGCAGCACCGGTAGTATGTCTGTCATAGCCAAAACCATAACTAAACAAGGCTGTCATCCAGAGCCTACAGGTAAAAAGTACATGTAAATGCAGTAGATTTGTACATCCCATTTCACAAACCAACTTACATATCACAATACATTGCTACAAGTACTGAAATACAAAAGTATATCCATGTATGTGGATGGGCATAGATGTTAGACATGTTGCAAATGTCATATATAATGTAATATAAGGCTGGGAAGGCTTGTAGTAGTAGTTGTTGCAGACACTGGTATGAAATGGCTGGCAAATATTTAGCAAAAAGAAGGACATAATGAAAATTCACAGGATTCAACCCAAATAGGAATAGTTTGAACCCACAGAGGACAACTGTCTCACACTCTCAGCTTCCCTTGCAATCTGAATCTCTATGGCCTGACAAAACCCTGTGTAAGGTCATGTCATTTCAACTTCAAGGCCCAGGATTCAAAGCACAAAAAGTCCATTCAGCACCATGGACACAACATCAGAAAAACAACATGTGCTTTGAATTCCAGCCACAAGCTGTTGCCTTGTGTGATACTAGTATTCAACACACCACACCTTCAAAGTGCCGACAAATCGTGTGTTTAACAACCATTCTTCCATCCACTTCAAAGGGCTGTTTTTCACAATCTACACTGAGCCCTGAGATATACCACAAGGGAACAGAGGGATTTATCACAGCAACACAGTTTTACTCCCAACCTTTCAGGGGGACCAAAACAGAAACGACAGATTAGCGAAAAGGGCAAAGTCATGAATAACAAAGTCGACTTGAGCTGTGCAGAAGTTTGTAGTACATGTACTTGTGAACTTGACTTAAAGTTTAATGTTGACTACATGTAAGCACCTAGTCATGATAGATGGCATATACTGCTAGTGTGCAAACTCATTATGGTGGCATCATAATGTGCACTGGCATTATAAAGATCAACTGGTAAGTTTCCACTTCTTTTAAAAATTCCTTGTGTGCTCTTTGCATTGACTAGTTTCTACCAATTTCAGTTCAAAGCCAAGCATACTCTACTGTTTTTATTTTATTTCTTGCCTGTATAGCCTTTATTTTGTTCTTAATAAAATCCAGACAGCCTCACTACATTGTTTGAGAATTGTCGTGGTCGATGAAGTTCATTGTTCACATATCTTATACATAAGTTTTGAATTTTTCAAACCATAATTGTCCAGTGAAAAAGAAAACTATCAATTTACATTCTTGTTTTTTGTCCTGTAAGCTTGCTCTTCTACATATCATATACCACCATCACAGAAAAGGCATAGAAATATTTGAAATCTAAATCATTATTTGTTTCATATGTCTCTTTTGTTCAAAGTTTCAAGAAGTAAACCTTTCTAATCCTCTTTTATGTTTTGACGGGTGAATCTAGGAGAGCTTTTAGAAGAGCTGTTAATGGCTGAATGCACTGTACACATCTAAATTCCTTTCACGCTAGTCTGCGTGCCACCACATGCGTAGGTCGCCCCCGAAGAATAACCCCTTCCACAGCACTGATTACACTGAACAGCCCTGCTCTTCAGCAAGTCAACCTCTGGAATGGCAACTCACCAATGAACATAATCTAGTTCTTATTACACTAACCTCGGGAGGGGACAACCTGTACATGCATATACCAAGTAGGCTTTCTATCTGGCCTAGAGCAAAGTAAAAGGTGTAATAAAACTAGTGTAAAGTCTAGAAAAAAAGAATGACTGTAGTGTCTTCTCCTCTAATAACAGCAGATAAAGAAAGTAGCAGATTGTTACTGAATGTGAGAGAGGAAAGCTACTAATTAGTATGCAGGTGACAAGGGCAGGAGTTAAGGCTAAATTTCCCGTCATTCTCCACTGCTTCTAAATTAAACAGCTTTTGAGCAAAATCGGTAAATGAATTCCCCAAACAGTTACTGAAATTTTCCAGGCACGTTTTCCGCATCTGAAGCAGGATGCATAGTGATAAGAAAGTTAACTCAACTTAAAACTGTCAGATCTTCATACATTCAACACTTGTACATAGGTGTAACGTAAGTTGCTAACATACTTCTTGTAGTATTATTACAGGGCTACCAACTGGTAATGTGAAATATCAATTACAGTAAGTGTGTGGATTCTAAATTCTGCTCCAGCATTTCAGACTCAAACAATATTTTGTAATTTTCAACTTCCTACAACCTACAGTTGATGTGCTTTGTGAAATGATGATTCAAATTGCCTGTACATGTATTTGCAACCATGAAACATTGCATCAATGATGAGGGATTGGGCACCAGACAAGACAGGATTATTTCTGGCACACAGGTCTTAAGTCTGCCACAGCAATCTCTACATTAGCGTGGCCTGAGTTACAATGGTGCCCTCAAGTCAACAGAGAAGTAAGCTAGCATTTAGGGAGAAATTACTTTCAAGACAAGACTAGACAAGAATGATAAACTTGCTTTCCAAGCTGTGGTAACAATCACTTTGAAAATGGCAGCTTGAAAGTACTACATGTATATGTCATGCAAAACCTTCATGGCAGCACAACAGAACAAAAGCCTGCTCATTCCATTTCCCATCAGCCTTCTTTCTTTGCAGTACATCACATAAAGTAATGTTACATGTCAAAGGTAAAACCAACATTCTATAGATAGAGATCTCTACAAACGAAAGTGCTGTCATGTAACAGTGCTTTAAACTCAGCTGCTATTTTTCAAAATGTTCTCCCGGGAAATCAACACTACGTTGAACTTATCCACACCCTTTGGTGAAGAAAAGTTGTTAAACCCCATTTAGTTTTGTACATTATTAGTAAAGGGTTGGAGATGTACATCATGTAAATATAGGAGACCTGAAGCTTTTACCCTGATAACCCTGCACCCAGATTACCACTCTAGATATGTCAGGAGAAAGACACAGATAAACAGCACACACTTTACAGTCAGTCTACACGTCCATCAGACACCATTCTAAATTCTGCTCAAGAAGGGAGCTGCACTAGAGACTAGACTGACATCATAGTAGATTGACGCTTGGCTGAACAAAGCCTCTGATCAAAGAAGCGAACCCAATTTGTTCAGCTGCACCTGACAAGACTGTGTAAGATGTATACACTACAGTCCTGCATAGAGATATGTCTGCTCTAGGGAAGACAGGTTTAAAAGATAAAAGAAGGAACAAATGACCTCAGATATTGTTTGATTGCCTTCTAATAGAAAATGAGAACAAGCAGAGTAAAATTAGCAAAATATCATAATGATGAAGGTTTTCAACACTACATATCCTACATTCTAAAATTTACAAAAGCTTGCCACTCTTAGTCGGACTTCTGTGTTCCTACCCTATCTCATGCCCACGCCTTGATTTCCTCTAAGACTAGTACTAGATAATCCATGTTAGCAATTCATGTTTCAAAGGGACCTGCCTGGCACAGACCGAAAAGCTCTCATCACATATTCTCAAAGCTTTCCACAGGCTTTGCCTAGAATGTCATGAACTTTAAGAATGGATTGTGATTGTGTTGCCCTGAGAAGCTCAATAATACTATTGGTAGTACACGAGGAAGCCATGGCTTACATTTCTTACTTGCCTTTAAGGCAAGGGGGATGTTTTTCCAGGTATCGACATTAGGGGGACTGCAAACATTTTATCCTCAAGGTCGCTCAAGGTTGTCTGCAAAGGAGGTTACTTGGGGACATACACTAACCTCGTTTTGAAACCTTTCCTGCAAAAAGAAATAGCGCCAAAATCTCGGCCTGCCTGAAACTGTTCATCTGTGTGTGTCACAAGCCAATGAATTTAACTAAATTGTTGTCTACTTTGCATGAAAAGGAATGGTACAGTGGTCTATGGTAGTGAAGAGATACAGAAAATACTGTTCTGATAAATGGAAGTTTGCACAACCTTGAAAGTACAATAAACCTCTAGGTGTAATCCATCAGTGGGAAAGATGATGATTGAAGATCATAGCTGATTCAGAAGTAGGTTTATTTCCCCAGGCAATGTCTCTCATGTGCACAAAGACCGACACCTTCTTGGTGAAAATGGCACATTTATATCTCTGATGGAAGAGTGATACAATGATATAGTGGATGGATCTTAATATCCATTTTCTTTTTCTTTAGGTCATGATAGGAAAAAAGTTATCAGTCTGCAGTATATTTATTCATGTCAAAATAGCTATATATCTATAATATGTATGAGATAACTATATAGATGGTATCCCTACAATTAATAGGAGTAATTCTTAGAATTATGCAAATCAGCTTTTAAGTTCCAATTTTTATGTTTGTTCCTTAGCCATAATACTTATATTAGCCCTGAAAAAAAGAATAAATATCAAAGACCACTCTTTACCTAATGGTTCCATTAACACTCATTTTAGAAAAGGGTGCACCATTGCACTATGGCCCTGAACGTCTGACCGAAATGAGTGCAATATTTCTTTCTTGCCACGTCCCACAACACTGTACGTGACATTACAGCTGCATTTCAGAACAACCATTGAACTTTGTACTATCATCAATCTTCTTGTGGCTGTGACTTTTGCAGATGTCACACGTTTACCTACAGGGTCGTGTTGGGAACAGCCGGCTGACGAGGAATGTGCCAGCGCCATCTGGATGCATCTGTCCCAGATGACACCTCCCGACCACCTGGGAACTCACTAACTCTCCATTACGGCAGGAAGAGTGCAGCCCGGCATAAAACTAATTACAGAGAGATCTCCAATTATCTCTAATTACTACAGCACTTCAGAGGCAAGAGGGCAGCTGTAGGTGGCTGGTTTTGTCTCACAGGGAGTGTACAGGTGGGTTTTGAAGAACATTCAAGCAGAAGACTGATATAAGACCAACAAGTTAATCAGAGATGGCAGACTTCAGACCCTTTGCCATACTGCTTAGTAACCCTTCTAGTCCCATACACAAAAATAACATGGTGCATACTGTCATACTATCACAGAAAAATCCATACAAACAGGCAAACACAGAGACAGCCTAAAATAATACAGCCTAAAATAAAACTCCCTAGTAAAATGTTCTATGTACACAGAACAAAAAATTTTGGCATGGACTGTTACCAAAAAAATATGTTTTCCATGAATATGGCAGTGATGTTTTTGTTAAGTATTGGTGTCAATTATTTTATGTTTTGTGCTGAAATTTTGAATTAAGACTGCACATGCAAATAATTATGTTTGGCATCCCCTAGAATATACATTGTGGTTCATCCCTAATATGCCTTACTAAGTAGTAGTAGTTGAACTGTAGTTCAGAAGGAAAATTACTATCATAAACAACCGTTGGTGACGTTTGCCAGGGAAAGCCGATTCCGAGAAATTAGCCGTAACAAAGTACAAAACCTCCCACTGGGACCCCGACAGGTCTGTTTACTCATTTCTGACCTGTCTGTTCTATGATTAATGTTGGATTTAATGTTTGAAAGATAATAACTAATCATTCTTACACCTGTTGCATGCAACTACAGCTGTCAGATTGAAAAATAGGCCCAAAGTTGGTACGATAAACGCTTATAACTTTGTGTGGATGCATTGGAAGGCATCACCATGTTTTCAGCACCAAGGAGAGACATCCTTTAAAAGATTGACTGAAATGGGGTGGAAGGTTGAAAGGGATGAAAATGTAAGGAAAAGAGATATTAGGAAGTTTAAACTCATGAAAAAGAGCTAAGGTTTAAGACAACAAAAGGAGGGATGGATGGATGGAAGGATTGAAAGATTGAACAAATGAAGGGAGAGAGGAAGGGAGGAAGGAAGAGTAGGGGAAGATGAATGGACTAGTGGAGTATATACATGTATAGAAAGATTTCAATAAGGTCAGGACAAGTTCTGAAAACCCAGGGGATAACCTAGATGTCCTGGGACACAGGACCATTTCACAGGTCATTAGCATAAATGACAGGACAGTCGCTGCTTCCATCAATGCATATTCTGTCCATATGACTCTCTGGGGGGTCATCCCTGGTCCAAATACCGATAAAACAGCTCTGTGAGATGGAAGGGATGGACTTCTGATATCAGTTGTCATTATGGTCTCACTACAGGTTTAGCTGAGATGTTCCAGATAAACCAGAAGCAGCTTGGTCTTAAAAGCTAAGGTCTCTCTGGATTTGAAGGATTACAGTTGCATAAGATGTAAGGGAAAGAATCAGGTGGTACCATTAAACCATACCAATAGCCTTAATCCTGTTAAGTACAATTGTATAGGATATGAAATATTACATATCAAAATTGCTGATTTTATCAAAGCAGATTCAGCCAATTAACTATAGAAAAGGTGAAAACACAGATTTGCCTCTCATGTAATATAAAATCTGCAATGCTTGTACTTAAGGAGTCACTCCTGTCAATTAAAATCCTGTCAATCTAAAGACAAAGAAATGGCATCTAATGGCCTATACTTGCAGGGGTGTGAAATGTGACTCTTAAAAGTCTCTTCAACATTGAGCTTTTAAATTCTGAAGTGGAATTTAGCCCTTATGTAGGACTCAAAGGTAGTTAAGAGCCATGTTTCCCAGTTCAGTACTTCCTGTCATAAAGACATCATGGTCCATTGAAATAGCCCCCCCCCCAAATAGAAGACACTCAAACCAAATCGGATGTAAAAAGGTACAATTTGATTCATTAACAAAAAAGGCTTTTAAAAAATGTGACATCCTGATTCAAAATTTAGCATATCATTTCCCTTACTAGCCTTCTAATGAGGTCAATGCACGGCAACACCTTTACCCTGAGATTCCACTCCAAGATCTGGTTCAATGACCCAGAACCTAATCTTCATAATTAAGTTTACACCCCCTATCATGCACTTAAGGATTCTTCTTGAAGGATTTTTCACATCATTTTACGCGTAACCTTTCTGAGCCCTGAATATTGTGCTGTGTGCCCTCCAGAGACCTGAAAAAGTGTTCAAGACCTGAAAGGTAATGCATCACAAGTCCCCTCTGACCTTCTACCTACCAAGCTACACATGATAACTTTCTGAAGGTTACCTAATTTAATTAGTGGCTCCAGCCAATCAGGAAAGACCTTCCAAGGTCAGGCAGGAGTGTGACAGCAGAGGGTAAAAGGCTGACACCAGAACTAATGAAAAAATGGACTGTAGATGGCATTAATGTAAAAACCTTTGATAACACACTTATCTGGTCGAAAGAACAAGATGGCTCAAATAAAAATTATTGCTCTGGCTGTCAAAGCTACAGTATATAAGCTATCTATAGAATATCTTTCTAACACGCAAACTTACTGAAACTCATCATTACAAGTTTTGTCGGCTGATTCTTAAACGATGTTGGCATTTTGTGCCTTTTTTAAGTTACGAGAGACCTGATCTGTATTTTCTTTCTGTCTGTTTCTTGTGTAGTTCTTACAGTGACCCAAGAACATTAGTCAGACATAAATGGAGGGTCCTTGATGATGAATCGGTTTGCATATGCTATCATGCCAGGGGTTCCCCGTGGACTGAGGACATGCAATTAAGTTCCTCCTCCCTACATCCGTTATTTGATGTCATGCTGCCCTCAGGAGAAATTAGGTGTCTTCTCCAGCCTGGGTAAAACAATTTGTCGTGCTCTTCTGCTGCGACACCCGCTGACATGATGCACATGTTGCCCTTGTTTACAGTCAGGCCACAGCTGCCTGCGATTATGGCATTACAGCACAGTAAAGCAGGCCTCACGCTACCTAAGCCATATGAAAAATTCAAGACTTTCCGAGGGTTTAAGCATGCTTGTAGCGTCTTTGTTACCTGTTACCTTTAAGCCCTGGCAGCAGCCCTTTGATTTGGCAACAGTTTCAAAACTCAGATGAAGGGATGAACAAAGAGGAGATGATGGGAAAAAAATGAAAAAAAAAATGACTTGCCACTTGAAAAAGCATCATGCTTCACCTGAGTTAAGGATGAACAGCTTTACCTGTTACTTATTTTTTACTGATTTGTAGTTGAATGTCAAGGCAATGCCAAGAAATAGAGTGGCAAATAATCTCATTTCAATAGGCAAGGACATTTATAGGACAGGCAAATTACCCCCTCAAGAACATGCAAGTGGTTTATGATATATAATACAAACGGAAATGATGCTTATTACCTGAATGAATGAGACCTCTGTGTCTGTGTCATATAAAACAGCAGGGCTGGAAATACTTACATAAACATTTACTTGTACATGAACGTTTGCTTGTACCAGACAAAGCATTATTTTGCTCTGTCAGAAAAGGAGACGTAATAGCAACATTTCAAAACATTTCACAGTGAGTTGGTAACTATTACCACAGTTAACAAAAATGCACCCATGTACTCAGTACAGGGCCTGTGCAGCTCTAATTTTGCCTGCACTACATTTACATGTATCATGCATCTCCAGCCCAGCACCGTGAGTTTTCATGTCATGGGGACATGGTGGAGTATCAATCTTATTCTAGAAGGGATTTGTAGAGTGCATGCAGATGATTGCAAATTTGCAATACTTAAATCAAAAGTCCTAGCAATACTTAAATCAAAATCATTGCATGAAGGTCAATGTTCGGTAACTCTGACAGATTATCGAGTACATTGCCTATTCATTTATTCGTTTTGGCTGAAGATACAGCCAAAGTTGCCCAACTAGCATGGGGCTGTTATCAAGAGCCAGCCTTGAGACTAATATGACACTGGGGTTCCCCAGGCCTCTGTCCAGGTGATTTGTACTGAATCACCAACTATAGAAACAGCTGGGGCATGCCCCTACTCTTTTTCGAAAGGTGTGGTGGGTTCTTTAATATGTACGGGCTGTGTCTCTCCCCAAACATGGGACGTTCATTTAACATCCATTCCATTTTTACCTGAGTGAAGTGAGAAAAGTCATGTAAAGTGCCTTTCCTAAAGCTAAGGGCACAACATCGGGGTATGAAGGTACTTTCGAACCCAGGACCAATGGCTTCTTTTTTCTCAATTCCAGGCCTGAATATCTTAGCTGTCATTTTTTGGCCTTGCAAACATTTTTCTACAACTTACATGTTGCAGGCAAATATTTCCAGCCCTGTAACATTGTTTGTACTGATAGAGTTGAAGCTATGACTACACAAATTGGTTATTAAGTGCGGGGTGATTTGAATTGATTATCATGATTCAACAGGAAGAAGGCATCATTGCATGGGGAATTACAGCTACTTATCTGGTTTTAATGTTGGTAATTTGGCTGCTACATATTTCTCCTACTGATACAGGATGTTAGAAATAATTGAACTCTGAGAGCGTACCAGAAATTGATGCATAGGAACTGAATTTAGACAACCATACTCAATCCCTCCTAATGGAAGATGCAGAAAGACTTAGTCTGTTAAAAGTTCAGTTAAGTCTCCAAAACACTTTTGAGTATAGGGCAGTGCCCATCCCCATTTCCATAGCCCTTGGACCACACAGTTGTGTAAGCTAGTCTTCTAGTAGTGGTGTGGGTTTAACTGCCATACTCTTTCTCATAAGTGCTAAGTACGGGGGAAAGCAGTATGTACCATTTTTAAATCCTTTAGTATGAACTGGCCTGTCATAATTCTATAGTCCACGTGCACATTTATATCCCAGTTGCAAACTGAGCACTGGTCAGGTTTACAATTCTGTATTCTGTTTTCCAAAAGGAATAAAACTAAACAGCCAGATAATTAATATCAAGAAATAGATGTAAGATTGCAAGGTTTGCTGGCTTTAACTTATCCTAAACAGTCAGGCTTTTAGGGGCTAAGCTCCACACTACCTCCGCAAGAAAAAAAACTTGTACTTACAGCATTGATGATGGCATTTGTAGGTAAAGTCTGCACAATGGTGCCACCTTGGATGACATGTAGGTTCCTGTAGTTGTCTGCTGCTAGTATGTAGTTTGACACATCACCAGTGGAGCTACACAGTCCTACTGCCAACAGGCAACGTACTGTGGGGATGCTATTCACTCCCTGAGGGGAGGGGGGCAGGGTTAGTAAGTATATACATGTAGTTGCAGAGTTTTCATGTTTTTTTTCTTCATCTCAAGTCAAAAGAGTGAGGTAACGATTGTTTTTGGCTAGTCCATCTGTCTATATGTCTGTCTGTCTGACAGTGTGTATTTCTGCAATTCCCAATACTGTACAGTATGCACAATTAATTCAGCATTACTGTCATACATCCTCAGTGTTACTATAGTTGTGAATGGGATTAGGGTTGCAAAGCAAAGGGGTGAAGTCTGCCATCTTTTATTAACTTGATGTTGACTGTTTGCTACACACAAACACACAGATAGACAAGCCAAAAACATTACTTTGGTCCCTTGGACCAAAGAACGGTTATCATGTAAGTCGGAGATGGGTCTGATAATTTCAGTTGTTGTATAATTATGTAGTTCATTGCCACATAGTACAGTAGGTGTAAGTAAAATCATTCCACAATAATTAGGTGAATATCTAACCCTTGTTATTCTAGTATCTTGTAGTCTCAGTCTCCACAGAGTGCTGTATGGTAGGAAGGCATTCACTGTTCCACCTTCATCTCCTGCCACTATCATCAAGTTTCCAACTGGGGAAAGAATGATGCACATTTTAAGTATTCGTAATTCCTCCATCATGTATTCAACATTTATTTGCTCAGAAAATCTCAGAAAACAGCATTGCTGTATCCTATACAGAATCTAATTTCCAAGCAGATGTCGGGTGGAAGATATTGTTTTCTGACTGCTAGGCTTCTCTGACAGCCATCCACCCTATATCATCTGCTGACAATTTGCATGTTTAACAACCAATCATTGACTAATAAAATGTGATTGTCGAGTAGGTATAATTTGGGTTGGAAGTCTGTCAGCCCTGCAATCAGAAAACATCACCATCTTCTAGTTCTACCCCAATATCTGCTTGGAGATGAACCTACTTGCATCCTCCTCTACATCCAAACAGCTGATGCTGTGTTCTCCCAGACTGCACCTGGCCAGAATCTGTTCGTTACAGAAGATGGTGACGGTTCCCTGCGAGTCTGCCGCAATGAGGTCCACCGAACCAAACCTGGTCACGTTGTGGAGAGCCAGCTGCTGTATGGGCCCTCCTTTGGTCTCAAGGGCTGATATGCACTGTGTGGCATTACATTGAAGAAACAGCCATGTTTTAAACCAACTGCATGCATGCAAACTTAACTTTGTTAAAGACATATTAAAATAATTTTCTCAACGTTGGACGTCCAGACTACCATTTCAAAACTAATCAACAAATTAATGCCTGAGCCTACATAGAATTCATGTCATACAGAACATCTCAACTTGTATCTCGGTAGTATTATCACCACATTTCATCATTAATACTGCAGTCCTCCGGTATTCCTGCCCACGTTTTTTTCTTGTCCCAGGGTGCAACTACCAATATTACTTCCCTCTCAACCTAGGTCATGCTCTATTTCCTGAGAACATGACAAGAATAAAGTGTTTCTGATTTCACAGCTCAAGTCAGACAATCTTTCAAACCTTCTTTGAAGTCTGTTTTTATATCTGCATGGTAAAAGGCTTGAGGACATTTTGGAAGGTAGCCCGGTTTTAAGTAAAGTACCGTAACACAGCTTTTAAATGCAACTTTGATGTACAGTGTTTTCATTGCCACACCATGTTGGTGTTCTTGATTTGGATTTTGACGGACCATAGCTTTTTTTAAATAAATTTATATTTTTAAGTTTTCTTATGGAAAACTCTTATTTCAGCTATTCACACTTGATATATGTTATTAGAAAAGGTTAGAGGATATTTTAAGTTTTATTGTCAAAAAAGTGCTTGTGCTCTTAAAGATTCACTGAAATGCAAATATCTGCTACATGTAACTATGTCTACCTTAATCTTGGCAAAAAGGGCAGTGTTACGGTCAGGGCAAAGGATGGAATATGAAGTATGTATAAGGGAATAAAATATTCATTGCAATTATGGTTTAAATTGATGGCTCATGGGGACAGAATTAAATCAGCTTTTGCCTAATGAGGATCAGATGACCTGAAAAAATGGTATGTTTGTAAGAAGACACTTCAGGGCCAGGGCCAAGTGCAGGCATAACTAGATTAGACTGCAACTTGTCATCGCAAAATCTGATATTATTGACACAAAAAGTTTACATGATGACTGGAAAAAAAGTATTTTATCAAGTTATGAATCAATTTCAAATACAGATATTTTTTATACGATTGAGATGAAAAAAAATTCAAGTTATAATGCCACAACCAGCAATACACATGTAATAATAAAAGAATTAACACAATTGACATTTTTATATGTGTGAGAATAAGACTGTGCCATTATAGTGTTGCATTAGTAACGTTATTCAAATCATTGCTGATTTTTGGCTCAGCTTTTATGTGTACCATACAGTATAATACATATGCCGAGATAGAATGCCTGGCCATTATTTATGCAGAACTGATGATGCATAGAGATCAATAAAAACAGGATAATCAAGCTTATCAGCCCTCCCCATTCATTCAAATGGAATAGTCCTAAATCAAACTGTACTATAACTGTGCTATACTATAATGTTATAACGTTATATCAAACTTCATAGCTCCATACTTGTAGAGTGTTCTCGCTGCTCTTCTCTCCTGACACTGGGAGATCAAACAGTCGGATAACTCCGTCCTCGCACCCAAGGACAAGTAGTGACTTCGCACTTCTGAAAACAAAACAGCCATAAACTGAAAAATAGTAGTATTCGGAATTATTCATATTGATAAATTCTATGTATGCAAGTAATGGTACGTCTATTATATGCAAGTTAGAAACTATGTCAGTAGCAGATATCTAGATAATTTCCAATTCTGCAAATATTGACTGCATTTTGTTGTTATAAAATTATAAACATTTGCCCCCCTCCCACAGTCAGTCTAGTTTGCTACCTCAGTTTTGGACAATTTTAAGAATCTATGAAGAACGTAGCTGAAAAAATTGACTACTTGAGGGTGGTTTGTATACCTAAACACCTGTCCAACGGATAAGACGTTGAATTTTTTAGGAAATCTCCTTTCCCACAAACACTGCATCAAAGCCTGCAACATGCTTTCACACGGAAGTAACAATAGCATACAATTCGTCAGCCGATTCGAGCCAGAGTAAATCTTCTGGCTTTTTGTACCTTTATAACGTTATATGTCATGTGTTGAATGCTACAATTCATGGTATTTCTGCTATCAGTGGAACCTTAACATATTCGAAGTTCAGAAGAAATCGGTAACAAATGTTACTTTTCTTTTTCTTCCATGAAAGTTTGATATAACGCATTAGTTACACGGTAACGTTAATATGTAGTTGTGGAGCGTTTTAAGCCGCTTGCTTTATCTATTCCAAAACACATATGTATTCATTCATTCATCGTACCTTGCATTAAATTCCCGCATAATTTTCTTAGTATCAGTGTCAAATTTCAATGTCAGAATTCACGTATTTATAATACTTCGCGCATGTCATGTTTAAGCGTCACAGTATAGATATCATCAGAGTTTAACAACAGTGATATTACGAAATCAAACCTCGCCTGACTGTGTAATATTTGTCCACATATTTGTCCAAATAGTTTTATTTTTGTATACATACTGTCACTGAGGAATAGCCACATGGGTTTTGCTGCGGAAATATTAGGTATTATACCACATGATTTAGTGCGCGTATCGGGGCGGCATGCTGTTATGCCGACGGTTACATGCCGTCTGGCCGAAATGTTTTCGGGCTAGGGGCGCACTTGGACTTGATTCGGGGAGTGTTCAGAAAATCATGACAATCGATATCAGGACTGGCTAAAGCCGGCACACGCCGGTTATTTCTAGATTTGGGTGGACTAGTAGCTCAAACATTGGCCACAGAGAATGCTGGGTGACACTAACGAGTCAGACGCGCCATCATATTCAAATATTGATCAATAATATTGTCAGAAAACAACACACACACGACCCTGTCTGCTGATGACGCGCGTATACACGCATACGTCATCAAATGGAAATCGAAGGGTGCAGTTTCTGGAAAGTTCGCGGCTAGGCATAGAGGTAGCATCATCATAGAGAGAGAGACTAGTGGGGTGGGCAGGGCGATCAGTCTTATATACGCCGCTCTCTTCTAAACACTACACCAGAAGCGTCATCCAACTGAGAGGTCTGCAGACGCCAGACAGCAAGAGGTATCACCAGCGGCAGACGACAGCGTCCATTCCCGTGCAAGAATGCCAAAGCAAGCCGGTGGTAAAAAGAAGGATCATCTGAGGATCAACCAACATCGTTTGGGAGAGTATGTAAGTGTACACATGCTCTACGTGCGATAGCACGATGTGCCTTCTCGTGATTTTTAATCTAACGTTGGAAGCATTATTGGCACAACAGTTGTTACGGGTTAGATGGGTGCTTGCATTGATTATGCTTGCGTATCCCTTGCCACTTTTCGCATGCAATCCACGACGCTCTGTACATGTCTGTACCATGCAGCGTTGGGAAAAGCTCGGCGTGGGAGTTTCTATATCTGTAACTGGTAAACCACATAATTGCAGGGCATCTTGCTGAAGAGAAGTGTACGGCGATTGCCACTTGTCACCATATGTCTTCATTTGCACCAAAGACTCAAAATTCATCTTCATGATTTCTGCCGTTAGCGTGTTATTCTACACTATATATGTAACGTTAAGTCGAATAGATGATCAGAGCTGTCATTTGAAACCATTTTGCGGAAAAAAAGTTATTTCCAAAAATCAATACCCGGTAGTATCCAATTGGGTCAGAGTGAAAGTTTTTTGTCATGTTTTTTTGTGTTTGTCCTGGTTCTTAAGGGTTTGGCTTGTACAGTTAGGAAATTTTTACAGCGGTTCGTTCATTACACAATAGCAAGTAGGGTTGTTAACATTTTGTCGCAATCCGGGAGGATATTCGGAGAATCAGATTCTGCAATCCACAGCGCGTTCGCTTACAACAGTTGTGATTGTAATGACAGTTGAAACGGAGGGGTCGGTAGGTATCACTGACTTTTGCTATTATAACAGTTCAATGTGGCTTCGGGCACTTTCGGCAAAATCATTGGCGCAGGCTAGCGCTCATGCCGAGTGTGCCTCGGCTTTGATCTCGCACTAGTCCCTTGCATTGGAAAGTATTTCAGGTGATTATGAAGACATATAATCGCTGTTAGGGACGAAAAAATGCACGAGACTGCTCAGCAAAAACTGGCGGTACATGTACTTTCAACTTGCTGGTGTCGGTTGAGAAATCGTACAACTTTCGAATCTCCCGGAGACATTTCATGATTTGTGCAGCATGTTTCACATAGCAACGTTGTCAAGCGTTTGTGTTTTTTTTCTTACCATGATTCATGTATTACATGCAGTGGTAGAAAATTCACTTTTCTACTTGTGAGAGTGTGGTGGTGTCACGTGGTGAATTCTCACAGCTCGACTTCTCAAAGAACTACCTCTTCCTATCATCTCATCTCGCCGACCGCTGGACTGTAGTAGAGCTAGTAGAAAAACCATGGTGCGTGTGTGTTACTCTACTGAAGTACCTTCACCTAGTCAACCCTTTTTTTCCACTAACTAATCGACCGTTACAGTCAAATGTGACGAATCATTTTTACTAATGCGGTCCACTAGAATGTCATAATTGCAATCGCGTATGGGCGATGCGCTTGCTAGTAATTCAATCATCGATCATGGCTGTGAAGTAAAAGGTCGCACGCCGTGTGTTTTTGGCACTAGATTGGACTGGCTGATTCCGGTTTGAACTAATCTACAACTCTTATATATTATACATGCTACGTTACACTCTTTGATACGACATGGCCCGGATGTTTTGGCCATCTAAAGCACTACAGATAGATAATTGGGGTTATCTAAACTGTATTTTTGTCCACACAACGTGTTATCGCTTATGTGGACATGGAAGCAAATTGCTCTTATTGACAACGATCTAACACCGACGCCAATGCGCTTAGAACTGGTCGACATGCATGATTGCATGGAAATCAAATCAAACCCAGCGATAGTGGGTCGTCGACCCGTGTGTGTGCGTGGATGTGTTTGAGAAGGACCTCAGCATGACCTACTGGTCATAAGTGGAGCTCAATGCATCAAGTGCACAACAACATCTCATTTGAATCGATATCATTGCGCATTATAACATGGAAAAATGATATGTTTATTATAGTATATCAACCTTCACAATTTATAGCAAAATGTTAATTTCATCTTCTGCTACGGACTGTTGGTGTATTTTCCTTTCTCTCTTTATGTATATTTTTAGCTTCGTAGAACCCCTTTCTTCAGTGTAAACGTGACGTCGCAACGCGGCAGATATAATGAAGCAATGCAAACTTAAAATACACATGTAACTTTGTTTCATTTTACTTTTTTCGCTATAGATTTATATTTCGCTATAATATATAACGTTAGATATATTAATACCCTATATACATATATATCTCAATTTCTGGCGATATGGAGATGTACTGTTTAATGTGTTAACTGCACCATTAGACAAAGTGTACCAGCATTTTAACACAGCTTCGAACTGGAAAATAATGCACAACTATTAGTGAAACTCTTTGAAAACAAGTATTTTTGTGCGCTTAACATATCTTTGCCCAGCAGCTTGCACAGAACGGACTAAATTTCTGCGCACAAGATAAAGATTTGACAAGCTTTAGCGAAGACATGTACAAATACTTCCGGCTAGCTGTCGTGTTTAATCCATACCGGGGGAGAGTGATAGCACGGGCTGCATTTCCGGAATGGCAAACTGTTGATATCGCGTCACTGGGGAATTCGGCACAATCCCAGTTGAATGTGATAGTCATACTCCGAGCAAATAGTCCATCATAACCTTAAGAGGCTTGAGAAAAAAGAGCGCCCGCGGACATGCCTCAAGAATCTCAAGAAGGCGTTAGATTCAAACACTGGAAAATTACCACGGAAAATTCTAGAAACCTCCGGGTACTTAGTGCATACAAAGTGTTTTCACTGGATTTCTATGTCGAAGAAAGAGGTAAATGCTGACCGCCATGTTGGTGTCGCTATTTGCATTTCAATGCATCGTGTTTCATACACGGCATGTTTCATCGGCGGGTTTTCTTTCTCATCTTTGAGATATATACATTTATTAGTGCTCCTCTGAGAGACAAATGCTCAACTAGTTACGATTCAAGGAAATGCAAATACGGAACACCAAGATGGTGACACACGCAGCGGTAACGTCACCACATGTACTGTTTCACTTTTTGTTCAATTATATGGTTTCTCCTGCATCCAAATGGGAATCGTTTCTAAGATAAGATAGGACTGTTATCTACTGGCAAACTGGGGCACAGCAGTCACGTTTACGCAAATAAGGCTGCCACTCTATACCAGACCAAACCAGTCAAGGATACAGGATCACTTTCTTGTCTTCAACTTACAACCGATTTTGTACTTTGTGTAGCTTTGCCATCGATCAAAGTCAATTCCACTCAGGGAAGTAATCGCTCTTCTTCTTTTACACTGTGCAGGGAGTTACTGAAGTGTGTTTTCTTCGATTTTCTTTAGATTTATGAGGTATTATCGGCTGATCCTTGCCTGTTTTTGATACTTATCTCTTAAAGCCATGTTCCATGTTACACGAACAGATAAGTGTCAGATAGTGGATCCCCTGACTCTTGTCTGTTGTTCGTCTTGCGGCGCCAGTCAGTGACATCGAGGACGTGTGGGACTACTTTTTTTCTGGAAAGTTCGCTTAAGAGGTTGCAACGTCACCTGCGGGGTAAACGCCAAGGAAATATAACTCAATATTACGTAAATCTTAAGTGTGGAACTGTTCCGGAAATGAAAACGGCATATGCCACTATTAGATTAACGTGGTGTATTTTGGAGAGATTTTAAATATTTGTATACATGTACTTGTCGATTGTCACATGTACAAACATATACCGAGAGGTAAGCAACTACCATACTGATTTGACAACGCCCACAATAGCACACCAACTGATGTTATTATTTATCTACAGTTTGTCTGGGAAGTGTTCTCACAAAAGTGAGTTTCGCAACAACTGGCCCACGTCGTTATCTCGGTTCGACGCCAC